GATAGGTATTCAAAGTGATGGGTTAAGGCTAATTGTTCAGACTATATCTTCTGGTGTCAATGAATAAAAGCGCATATTTCTTTGCTGCAAGTGGGGCAGAAATGGTTTTGCAAACACGGAAACCTAAAGGAAAGTGATGTGGCTCTAGTGGCTAACGATACAACTACTCGTGGCTCATGGCCGAAGCGACGGTTTGATAAGTCAGGAATAGATGAAGATGGTTTGGTAGGAACAGTGATGGTACGTATGGAAATCACATCATCATCTACACCAATTCACTGCGTCGTAACAATTACCAATACATGATATAGAACAATTTTAGACTAGAGATGGAACAGTATATTTAATGTGAATAAAAGACATAACGTAACATTTAGCAGGGACCACGCCTGCATGGCCGAGCCATGCCATACGACCAACTCCGATTAATTCAATTCAATTTTCCCCGCCTTCTCCATTCTTCTGTATTTCTCCGCGTTAAATGTTTAATGTCTATTTCTCATATTGTCTCGTGGTAGGGCCCAATGCCACTACAATACTCTCCCACCAAAATCAACTTGACGTTGGTTCGATACCAAATTGTGTGGGATTGTCGCGCGCCGGAGGTTAGCAATAATAACAAGAACCATCCGGGTATTGATGAACTGAAAGATAAATCAAAAAGAAGGCAGCAGCATCTGGTCGGGAAACATATGTAATAATTTCAACACATCTGATTGCATGTTTAACACGATTAAAGTGAAAATTTAGGTAAACATTATTCGAGCTAAACAAAGTGGGATTATAATAATAATAAAATGACTCAGTTTAGAGACATTTTAATAAGTCGCCGTAATAATAATAATAGAACGTAAGATGTGTGGTAATATCCGTTGGTTAATATCTTAACTTATAGTTAGTAAGTATTTTGTGTTTATAAATATTAAAAGAAATACGTATTGTAAAAATGCTAATATTGGCATTAGTTTTGGTTTAAATTATGAAATTAAATAACGGTTATGCCAGTAAGCTGTCCATATGAGTTGATGTCCAGTCGCATCTGTATTAGTAGACTAACTGAAAGAACAAAAGTTACCGTGGAGAAGAATTCCAACTAGTGTCCTAGTTAGTTTGATACGGTTTATTTAGTTATGGGGAGATTTTCTCGACCTCATTTTAACTTGACCGTGATAGAATTTAGTAATACAACTAGTACATATGAATTTTTATCAAAAAGAAATTTTAATACGTGAAAAGTGATAATTATGGTAAACATGAATGTATTCGTAAGGGACATGCTCTAGACTCAATGTTCTGACTTGCCATAGACTATTTATTTATATTTATACCTACCGGCTGATGGTGCAACAAGTTAGTTGCAAGTATGCAGTTTAGCAAGAGGCGGAATACGATTTGATTGAGATATAGTGATTATAAGTTGTGTGTGATGTAGTGCCGCGAGATGACTTTGGCTAAATAAGTCTTTACAAGATGATCAACAGTGGTCATCAGGCAAATCAAGAGCGAAAAAGCAGCAGGACCCGATAATATACCAGCTGAAGCACTGAAGTCAGACATCGAAGTAACTACGAACATGCTTCAAGAAGATTTGGGAAGAGGAACAAGTGCCGATGAACTGGAAAGAAGGACACCTCATCAAGATTCCAAAGAAAGGAGATCTGAGCAAGTATGAAAACTACAGAGGCATTACACTTCTTTCAATACCAAGAAAAGTCTTTAACAGAGTGTTACTGAACAGGATGAAAGACGCAGCAGACGCTCGACTTCGAGATCAACCAGCTGGATTCCGCAAGGACCGGTCGTACACAGAAAAAATCGCGACACTACGGATCATGGTCGAACAATCAATCGAATTGAACTCGTCATTGTACATCAACTTCATTGATTATGAGAAAGCATTTGACAGTGTAGACAGGAGAACGTTATGGAAACATTTTCGACACTACGGAGTTCCTGGGAAGATTGTTAATATTATCCGGAACTCATACGATGGACTACAGTGCAAAGTAGTGCATGGAGGGAAGCTGACAGATGCATTTCAAGTAAGGACCAGAGTAAGACAAAACTGTCTATTCTCTCCCTTCCCCTTTCTTCTGGTGGTCGACTGGATTATGAAGACCTCGACATCTGAGGGAAAACACGGCATACAATGGACAGCTCAGAACCAATAAGACGATTTGGACTTCTCAGATGACCTAGCTCTCCTATCGCATACACACGAATAAATCCAGATAAAGACAGCCTGTGTAGCAGCAGTCTCTGCATCAGTAGGCCTCAACATACACAAGGGTAAAACCAAGGTCCTCAAATACAACATGAAGGACAGCAATCCAGTCATTCTTGATGGAGAAACTCTGGAAGATGTAGAATCCTTCATACACCTGGGAAGCATCATCGATGAACAAGGAGGATCAGATGCAGACTTAAAGGCGAGGATTGGCAAAGCAAGGACCACATTCCTTCTATTAAAGAACATATGGAACTCAAAACTACTTTCAACCAATATCAAAGTCAGAATCTTCAATATGAACATCAAGGCAGTTCTACTGTATGGAGCTCAAATGTACAAGTATTCATAAATAGCTGTCTACGCAAGATACTCAACATCCATTGGCCGGATACCATCAGCAACAGCCTTTTGTGGGAGAGAACAAACCAACTTCCAGCTGAAGAGGAAATTAGGAAAAGACGATGGAAATGGATAGGACAGACATTACGCGAATCATTAAATTGCATTACGAGACAAGCCCTAACTTGGAATCCTGAAGGGAAGTGGAAAAGAGGAAGGCCAAAGAACACATTACGTCGGGAAATAGAATCAGATATGAAAAGGATGAATAGCAACTTGAAAGGATTGCCCAGGACAGGGTTGGATGGAGAATGCTGGTGAGCGGCCTATGCTCCTTGGCGAGGGGTAACAAGCGTAAGTGAATACTGATGAGAGAAAATATCAACATCCAGAAGTTCTCGACTCTCCGTAAGTTTAGAAGGTTTTACGACGAAAAATTTGCTAAGAAATCCTTAGAATGTCCTAAAAGTTCGTATTCGTATATAAACCAAAAGACAAAAGTAGAGGAAAAATTCCAGCACCATGGGGAGACAGTAATGCTTCATCATCCTCAAAACTGAACGTGAGACAGCTGGGAAAATAGATACGCAACATTCAACACGGAGCGAAGGCCAACAATGGTGAACAAGGGAGTATTCAGCTTCAGCGATTGTCATCTGGAAGTGTCACTAGTTGAAAAGATCCGCATGAGTTAGTATCCTATCGTTTGAAATCTCATGCTAACTGTGAAAAAAGCTCCATTGTAGAAAAGCTTGAACTGATAACTTTGAAAAGCATTTTCAGCTTTCCACTTAATTTTCAAAACCTCCATTTGAATTCATTTAACACATAGAAATACAATATTCCTTTCTTCGTCTTCAAGGACTAGAGATGCTCTTGAACTTATTATAAGGTTAGCCAATAAATTATGTCGTGTACACATATACATGCCTCATACTATCAGCCTAAAATAATTGCACCCTTCCCTTTTAAAATATAAGCTACTCGAAGGTGATCACTTGAGAACATACCATTGAGCATCCTCTGAATGTCCATCTAAGTTCACGGTCAACACAAACCATCGTGGTAATACCCAAAAATTAGAGTTGAAACACGGAGAACAGGAACTTACGCGCACACATTTGACCTACACATTGCCGATAGTAAGGTCCCGGAATTCTCTGCCAGCTAAGAAGATTCAAAAAGCTTCCTGAATGTGTTTCAAAAAGAAACTTGATGTATTCTTTAAGGCGTTAGACATTATAGAATTCTGACCTAATATTTCTCTTTCGTTTGTTGAATATACGTAAGTCTCAACATGAAGGCATCGAAGAACAACTACTAGACACACAAACACGATGGGCGAAAGCTTTTTATATTCCGTTCACAACTCTCACATGGACATAACAGCAATGATTTTTGAACTTCACACAAATATCTGAACGTCAATAAATTGAATATGATATTTTCGGCGGAGCGTGAAAATTTATTGGCTACAGTCATATGTTATTCCTTGTCATGTGTTGTCGTAAATTGTCAGCTTATTAAAATGTGCAGACCTAGTTATTCCACCCATTCACGTTAAGCCCTGTTTTTTCTTCCTTCAATTGACTGCTAATTGAGTGCGTGAGGTATTATATCATTACGTAATCGTTTCATTAATGAAACGATTCTCATTAATTAACGAGAATTCGCATTCTCGTCAAATAAAACGATTACCTATTTACGAATATGTTGTACTGTGCATATATTAGCATTAATAAAAGTTGAAAACCTAAGTGTTCAAGTAAATCTAATTGTTTGTTGTCGTTTTATCCCTTAGCCAGATACACTTGTTAATTTCCCTCATGGTTTTTTCGGTGTGTTTCTTTTACATCACATTCCAAGTTGTTTATAGACGATGTATAGTAGAAATAAAATTGTTGTGATCTAAATCAGCCTCCTAAATAGACGGTATTTAGTGCAGTATTTTGAGGTGTTGGCTTCGATTATTTGAATGATCATGGTTATGACTGATGGTTATGAGTCACAAACAGGTATGAAACGTCCAATGATTTCTGTGGTTCCTCACCTGAATTTAGTTTATGATAAACATTGCATCGTCTATCCAAATAAGGAAATATCTCTTAGTCAGGTCAGAATGCATCTTTTGGTGTTGAAGGATTAGTCTGCACGTAGACATAAACGTTTCTACAACTAGGTTCGAAACTCAGTATATATTTTAGAAATTATAATGTCGCTTTTGAGTGATTCCCTGTTTATTTATTTAGACAGTTATGTCGCTGTACGCAAATTTAGTTGAATTCACGTTAGTCCCTTGTTCTGTACATTAAAAATACTGATGCACTCATGATTAAAGTGGGTCATGTTCTCTAATCCTAAAACATCTGTTTTTACTATATAGTCAATTTATTTATTTGTTTTTTGTCTAAGATTGCTCGACCTAATCGTCATGGAACTACCACCTTTTGAATTACTTTATACTACATCAGATATACTTAATGAATTAGAAACTGCACTTAAAGAGTTGGATCAAAGCAAGCTTTTCAAAGATGTGGGAAGGCGTAGACGTCGGAGAAGAAATGGAGGACTATATGGTGTAGGGTTTGAAGCAGAAGATCCCGATTATTATAATCCAGTGGGAATATGCTGTGATATCGCCTTCTACACTAGTGAGGAATATAAAAGACATTTAGATAGTCATGTTAAAGTAAGTTTTGCTCGGTTGTCAAATAATATTTGACTAAGTGTCCTGTTGAAGGCTGCCCATTTACGTCACATCAAAAAGCAATGCGTGTTCATCAGGAAGTGGTAAGTAAATCTCTATAAATTGTCGTTTATCTATCCTTTTTACAGATTCACAATAGTGGTTTGTTTGATGTCATCTACCGTGAAACTTGTGATAAGTCAGTAAAAGTTTGGAGAGAAAGCCGTAGACGGTAAGACTTCTTTAACTAAACTCTCAACAGGATTTACCTTTTATATGAACCCAGTAGATTATTTATCCTTTCTGTAAAGTTTGAAGGACATTGGCACTGTAAAAATTTGCTCCTGTATTTACAAATGGTTTGTTTTAAAGAACAAAAGAACTGCGAACCTGTTGATTCTTGCAGTTTCTCTCGTGCAATTATCATAAGGACTGATTCAAATAAGTTGTGAAGTATGGTCTTTTACATACAAATAAGTAAATTGTGCATTCTAGTAACTAGTCGAATATACTTTGCAACATGTTTAAAAGCTACTGAGAGACAAAGCATACTAACTGGGTGCTTTGTTGTGCTCTGCAGCCCATTAGAACTGGACATTTTTTATGGTTTTCTTACCTATAATGTGACCTATGAGTAAATAAGGTAAAAGTTGGTTGATACTGCAGAGGTTTATGGTTGTACTCAAAATAAAATGTTACTTATTTGTAGTGAACTTAAGACTTATCACAAATGTTACACACTTCACATGAACATAAAGAAAATATTTTCTAATCCATGAAAGGGAGAAGCAATATCTAGAAGCAGGCAACTAAATCTACTGATCATAATGCAAATAGAACCAGTGAAATGAGATAAATAAAAGTAAGGAATAGGGCTAAACTTACGATCTTAAAGATAAGAAATGAATGCAATTGTGACTGGCTTTGTTTTGTCCTGTCAGCTAACATCTCCAGCCAAAAATTATAGCTACTAAGCTCTCACAGACTTAAAAATTTGTGCCTACTGATGTGGCTCTGACAAAGTCAGTAAAATGAATTCCTTATAAAACTGATGGACTTGGTATTTTAACAGAAATTCGATCGCTTGTGTTTTTAGTAAGTGCGACTGTAGAAAATAGTTTACATAAATCTATCCTTCATTTGATGTGGGAAACATCTTAAATTCATCGCTTTTTAGCCGTAAATTTATTTTTATTCCGTTTGAAACCTGCACATTCTCTTCAATGTTTTTAGTATTATTTATTTAAACACAAGCATTAGTACAAAAAGGAACCTATATATGTACACACCACGATAAAAACAAGATTGTAGAAATGGGAAAAAGAGTGTGAGTATAATAAAAGAAAGAAAATGAACAGAAATTAGTGTGAGTGAGAATAGTAGTAACAATACCAGAAGCCGTAGATTAATGCATAAGTGGTTAAATGCGTCCAACCACTAGTATTTTCCAATTCTTCTTCATCATTCGTTTGAGCAGCCAGTTAGCAACACTAACTTTTACATCTAATGTTTGGTTTAGAGCCAGTCATGCAGATCTTTACTTAATAAATTGCGTCATTACTACAGCTGTGAATGTTAAGAATGAGAAGTTTGAAAATCCTTGGTAGTGACATTCTAACTTTTCTACTGAATTACTAATGTTTATTTCGTCAGTGTGTCTACTAATGTCTGATTGTTTCAATTTTCGTTTATATTATGCCAAAAATTGTATTTTAAAGCGATGAATTCATAGTTTTTCATTATTTTGCAGTTTACCCAAATAGGACACAGTATTGAATAGTGTCTTTCTACACTAAGTGTCACTATTTCTTTTGTGAAATGATTATTTTGGTATATTGTTCACTCTAATTTCTCAGGAATTACCCCACTTTGGAGCGAGTTGAAGCGAAAAAGAAGCTTGTTGAAGAACGTATAGAGCGAGGAGAAATTTTTGAGACACCTCAATTCGGGTAATCTACTTTTTATTTTCCAATCTTAACATATGGTGATAATATAACAATGTAATTTTTAATAGATTCTTTTCTTGTTATATCCAAAACTACTGAATTTAAAATCTGTGTAGACTTCAATATCTTTCACTATTCCAAAAAGTGGCTTAATCTGTACACTTTTATATCTTGTAAATTATAATTGCACAACAGTGTGTGATCCCATTGGTTTTCTTTCAGCTTTTAATTATCCTTTTACTGTGGGATCATCATTATTAAATGTGAATAAGCAACGCCAATAATAATACGCCTCTGCCAGGGAAGTCCTACTCACTGCCTTCTCGCTACTGGGGTGTTGTTTACAAAAATGAGAGGACGAAAAGCGAATGTCCGGCGCTTTAACCGGACCCCAAACCAATGGTGCACATGGGCTCCAGTATCCTGCGGGAACAAATGGCGTATGAACCAATTATTTGTCACCGACTACCAGGGGACTGCATCTCCTTACGATGCTCCACTGCCTTGTGGGTCAGACGTTCAGGTCAAAGGCTCGGGGTGTGGCCCCCTAAGAAAACCACCTGCTTCGGTTTGGGCACCCGGGTAGTATCACAGCCCTCACACAAATCAATTGAGATTTGTGTGGCGCATATGTATTTGGTGCCTCCCTGTACCTATACTTATGTGTTGAAATAAATAATGAAAATACACTTCCATATATATATATATATATATATATATATATATATATATATATATATATATATATTACTTACGCCTCTTAATCCTCGCAAAGGAGCATGAGCCGCTAACCAGCATTCTCCATCCAACCCTGTCCTATGCAGTCCTTTCCAGCCAAACCCAGTTGTTATTCATCCTTTTCATATCTGATTCTATTTCCCGACGTAATGTGTTGTTTGGCCTTTTTCCTTTCCACTTCCAAGTTAGGGCTTGCCTTGTGATGCAGTTTGATGATTTGCGTAATGTATGTCTTATTTATTTCCATCGTCTTTTCCTAATTTCCTCTTCAGCTGGAAGTTGGTTTGTTCTCTCCCACAAAAGGCTGTTGCTGATGGTATCCGGCCAATGGATGTTGAGTATCTAGCGTAGACAGCTTTTGATAAATACTTGTACCTTCTTGATGGTGGTTGTTGTAGTTCTCCAAGTTTCAGCTGCGTACAGTAGGACAGCCTTGATGGTTGGTATTGAAGATTCTGACTTTGATATTGGTTGAAAGTTGTTTTGAGTTACATTTGTTCTTCAATTAAAGGAATGCGGCCCTTGTTTTGCATATATATATATATATATATATATATATATATATATATATAATAGGTGGTGGATCTGTGACCTCAATGGGTCATGTAAATGATATCCATTTCACTAATCGTAAGCAGAATGTCCCTTTTGGTATGTTATCATCAACGTACGACGTCCTACAAACTTGGATTGTTTCACATTCTCAAACCACATCTGTACTGAGAGATGAAATGATGCTATACATGCTATATAACCTGTATCAAATTTATAAGTACATAGATAAATAAGGCCTAACCATGTTAATCAGATGTTCTTTCTGTGGTCAAAGTTTAATTAATAAGACTCAACGCTTGAAATTAGCAACTTTTGAAAGATGGTTATGGTCAATTTGCACTGTATAAGAATGAATATCCAAGACATTATATACAATCATTGTGACAATCACTTCACATATTGTGAAATGTAAATAGGAATTAAAGTAGAATATATATTAAATGGTGGTCAGTTTATAAAACATGCTTGTGTATATTATATGAGGTTAGATAAAATCTATCATACCATGCACATAATTTGAAAACATAGATTATTTGCCTTAAAAATTGAACACTGTCCTCATTTATTATTAGTCCACTTGAGGTGGTTTCATGAGATGTAAAATCTTGAATTCAGTCAGGCTCGTGTGCTGTTACGGGTATGAGGGATGATGTCACTTCCCAGCTGCCCACACCGTGAAAGGGTATTTCTTAAGGAACCTGAAAAAGAAATCGGATTAGTGTTAGTCTTAAAGACCTGGGAGCGTGACCACAGAACACAGGGCGAAACTGCTTGTGGCTGGTCGCGCGCGGCCTTTTCGTGGGAGGTTTTTAATGTGTTAGCTCCATTCTTCAAAGGGCCTTACCGTCGAAGACGGAAATCCGTGGGGTGAAGCGAGGTGTGACATTTTTAGGGTCAACCTTTTCTAACCCCTTCCTTCTTTGTGGGAAGGCAGCATCACTGCAGATTATGGTTGTCTGAGGAAAACACCTTACTGCTATCACACCCCCTCCACAGTCAGCAGTACGACTTCGCCCTCAGACCTTGAATTGCTGCTTTTAGTCTTACCGTACTCCAATCGACCTGCCTGGCATGGTAGAACCTACAGGAACATATGTTTCAGCCAATATAGCTCGGTTGGGTCATCACGATAGGCAAGCCCGACCACCACGTCAAGGTAGCAGCTACGATCGGGAAATCTTGAATTGCATTGTACTATGTTAGCAGATAATATAATTCATTTGTCTGCCTTCTGTTACTATTAATTCACATCGTTATAATACTGTATTAACCCATCTCACTTTTATATTTTAGTTCAATGAATAAACCGAATTCAAATGTCCTACGTTCATCACAGATAGGTGAAGTCAATGCTTCATCTAACAAAGTAATGTAAATCTACATTTTTCTTCATTTTTCAAATCTCGTGTGAATGCTTATTGATATGATGAGAAATCTATACCTTAAGGTAATATCAAATTACATATAGGGTGTGTAGTTTCAGTCATATACGATCATTCATTAGTGATAACTCATTGTCTTGATCACTAGTTTTATCAGTCCTAGTTCCATAAATTCGGATATCATAATGAACAACATTCGTAAATAATAACTAAAATGCATTTAATGCAATATTCTACAGATTTTTGAAGAGTATTATAATAATTCTCACATCATATACGTATATTCAAAAGGGTTAGCCATGCAGTACACTAAGCATTGAATTTCTTAGTTCTTAAACGTTTACCTATATAAATACTGCAAAGTGATGAAATGGAATCCTACTGACCAGTTCATTGTAATTAACGTATAGTCTGGCATAAATAAATATTAACTTAAGCTGCTATACCAAATTGTCACTATGGGATCACATTAACAAGAGGAATGATATTGTATTAAAGATGATTTAGTAACAATGATGATGAGAAGACTATTAACATTGAGAAGTTGGTTGCGACAAGTCAATCAAACGTTTCATTTAGTCTTTAGAGATTCTAATTGTTAACCTATATATATACTAGATGACTACTACCCAATACATTTTTAATCTAAATCATACTTGTTATCACGAATCATACTTACTTACGCCTGTTACTCCTCGTGAAGGAGCATAAGCCACCCACCAGCATTCTCCATCCAACCCTGTCCTGGGCAATCCTTTCAAGTTGTTATTCATCCTTTTCATATCTGATTCTATTTCCCGACGTAGTGTGTTCTTTGGCCTTCCTCTTTTCCACTTCCCTTCAGGATTCCAAGTTAACGCTTGTCTCGTAATGCAATTTAATGATTTGCGTAATGTCTGTCCTATCCATTTCCATCGTCTTTTCCTAATTTGCTCTTCAGCTGGAAGTTGGTTTGTTCTCTCCCACAAAAGTCTGTTGCTGATGGTATCCGGCCAATGGATGTTGAGTATCTTGCGTAGACAGCTATTTATGAATACTTGTACATTTGAGCTCCTTACAGTAGAACTGCCTTGATGTTCATATTGAAGATTCTGACTTTGATATTGGTTGAAAGTTGTTTTGAGTTCCATATGTTCTTTAATTGAAGGAATGTGGTCCTTGCTTTGCCAATCCTCGCCTTTATGTCTGCATCTGATCCTCCTTGTTCATCGATGATGCTTCCCAGGTGTGTGAAGGATTCCACATCTTCTAGAGTTTCGCCATCACGAATCATAGTTGCGTTTTTATTCATTAATATTTACTAAATGATACTTAATCATCCCACCATTTGTTTCTTACAGATGTCAACTTCGTCGAAAAAAACTAATAAAGCTGCAAAACAGTGTCAAACAAATAGTTCCAATTCAGTCATTACAAATCAAGAATCTAACATACGCTTAGTTCCTACGGATTACGACAGTGAAAGCACAGATAATGACAATAATACTGTTAAAGATAAATCTTCCTGTGATATAATCGATCCTACTACAGAATCTGTAGAAAAGGTAAGATTTTGATTATGATAACCGATGGTATAGGATATGTGACTTGTGTTTTATAGGCGAAACTATAATTTATGGACGACCTTTGAGCGACGCTAAAGTGACCTTGAGAGTGTCCATCTAATAATCAGCACCAAATGAGGGTTATAAACCTGTATGATGAATTAGAATTATGATTTATAGTTAATGATTAAAGTTAGGAATTAGATTTAGGGTGGGGGGTCATCACGAACTGACATAAGCTATAATGCCAAGACGCTATTTATCCATATGGATGAGTCAACTTCGCGCCAAAATCTAAGACCTGTTATGTTATACATGATTGATTCGTCCATAAATTATAGTCTCACCGTTTTTATACTTTGTTCATTTCGTTTCTAAGTGAGTTATTTCATTGTGCTACTCAAGCATGTAAATGAAGGTAAACAAAAGAATGCAAACATTAACACTAACATTAGAACATATTATCTTATCGTAGTGTTTTATAATCTTTACATATTTTCTACTGTTCAAATTTAATCATAACAAGTCATACAGTCATTCATACTTGTCTTATCTTGAAGATGATAAGAAAACTCTCCCAAAAGATTCCATGAAATTATTGAAAGGGGGATGGATTGTGTAATAACAATAATTATCATTGAAATTTACAATAGGATAATCATTCTACATCTGCTTCGGTATCCTTAATACTCAACGAATTGACTGAATTCATTTAAACAACAAAAAATAATAACAAGTTCTGTCTCTCTTTCTTTCTTTCTTGAAATTACCCGGAAACATTCGTTTAATTTTTTTGTTTTAGCTCAATAATACTTCAAACAATCGACGTCGAAAACGTGGACGAAAGCAAAAATGCGATAAAATCAGTGATAATCCAAATAATGAAAATTCTCAAGATGATCCATTTGCATCGCATCCTTTAGTGAAGCTACAAGTTAAACGACGACAATGTCTAAGTGATATTCATCGTATACATAGTCGTCCAACGCTACTACAGATGGTAGGTATATTTTACTTGTCTGTGTATAATTTGACTAGAAAATATTTATACTTGATTTATTTAGATTTTATGCCATTAGGGATATATAGATCTTATGGAAAACAACATAAGTGAAAGTTAGTGGTATACCCTTAATAGTATTTCTTATTATTATTTAAACACATAGATATTGGTACAAAGAGGGACCAAATATATGTGCGCCACACGAATCTCAATTGATTTGTGTGAGGGCTGTGATACTGCCCGGGTGCCCAAACCGAAGCAGATGGTTTTCTTACAGAGCCACACCTGAAGCGTTAGACCTAAAGGTCTGACCCACAAAGCAGTGGGGCATCATAAGGAGATGCAGTCACATAGTAGCTGGTGACCAACGATTGGTTCATACGCCATTTGTTCCTTCAGGATACTGGAGCCAACCCATGTGCACCATTGATTTGGGATCCGGATAAAGTGTCAGACATTCGCTTTTCATCCTCTTATTTTCGTAAACAACAGTAATGTCATAAGAAGGCAGTGAGTAGAACTTCCCTGACAGAGACTGTATACGGGTAGCCATATGGAGAGCATTTCGAGATGGAGGGCGATCTCACCCCACTCTCAGTTATACTATGGTATTTGGGGGCCTCAAGCAGGCTCACAATCATCTACAACATATATACCATTGTATTTTTTTTTCTTTCTTTTACATTTATACTATATTTATTTTTATAGTTATTAGCTGAAGATATACGAAAAGAACGTAATCAACTTATGCAATGTATTCGTTATATTGTTCATGAGAATTTCTTTGAAGAATTCAATTCATCTCAAATGACATTGTGTTAAAAGCTGAGAAAAAAAGATCATAAACTGTAATCCTATTTGTTTGTTTGTATATATAAATATAGATTGAAGAAAAAAATATAGTGTCCGTGTTCATTTCTTTCAATTGAATCTCATTTGATAATAATCAATATTTTCTGTAAGGTGTCCATTCTGGATCTTTAATATTCATATAAACTTTTGATTTTCTTGAACGACTAGTTTTATGTTGTATAGTGATAGGACTATTAACATGATTATTATTATTATTATTAATAGATTGTTGAACCCAATATGAATTATCTTGATGTGGTGGATGTCGTTTGATATGAGTAAATCTATGACATTTACGTTTTCTTTTTTTTCCATCTGATTTAAAATTACCTGATGCAGAAAGTAATGGAAGAGATCTTGTATGAGATTTATATTCTTTTATTCTTTTTGATTGTTGATATTCAATAGAATTTAAACTTTTTGATAAGTTTTCTATAGTAGAAATTTTATCATTTTTTATAGATTTGGATTGTTTATCTATTAATGTTAATAAATGAACACTATGCCACCAACGAAAACATTGTGCTGAACAAATACGAGGTAAACCAGGACATGCTGCACAAACCATATTAATAGTCATTTCATTTTGTACTTGATTTCTTAATTGACATGCATTACATTGCATATTTTCATTAGTTGAATTATTATCAAAAGTATCAGGCAACATATCGTGATAGAGTGATTCTATAGAGACTAGTCTATGTTTATCATTTGGTGTTGCTACGCATGTATCAGAAATAATAGTTGTTTGATTGTTAGTAGATATTGTATTTATAGATTCTTTGTTTGTGTTCTCTGTGTTACACATTAGTTGATCCTCTTGATTGTTATTGTTTGACAATTCATCATTATTGACTGGTACAGTGTTTTCTGTAAAAAAAAACACAACAAAAACAATACGGTTACTGCATAAAAAGTGGATGCAAATTGGTATAAAAACTTGATTGTACAAGAATAAAGTGCCATTACATTATCAGTCTTGCAAGCTATAAAACGATACGCCGAAATCTTTAATAATTTACTCCATACTTTGTTTCTGTGTTGTTGGGATAGGAATCGAAAGCATAGTTCTCATCTAAACATGTTAAACTACGGTAAGGTTGCATATAATTGCTGTACACTTATGGAATCTTTAGTCCTACTGCTGTTTATTAAATCACGTATCCTTCCATATATTGTGTTGCTCTCTGAATGGATATAGTCGAATGTACATTGAAGTGTTAGCATCCCTGTTATTTATTTCTGAAGCCGAACCTTTAAGCTTAGGATATTCAACGACTTTATGTTTGCTCGTTGTTATCACCAAATGATTGCCCATATTTGGTGCTGGTAACACTGTGTTGGTTATGTTTAGATCCAGTAATATTCATATTCGTAGTAAAGATCGTATTTACCATAGTAAAGCATTAATTTTGGTGAATTGGCCGCTGCGCGTGTGGTTTTGGCGGCTCTCGTATAGTTTATCTGACGACGATTAGGTGGAACGAACAGAAATATTCATGGTATGACCTCGTGAGACCAAGAATCAGTGTGTCAGGTTAACATGTCGATGTTTTATATTACATGACCAGTTGTAATCAATACAATGCCTGATTAAATATAATTTTACTCAATGTGTTTATACATCAGTATTTAGTTCAAGTTTTTCGTATTACAATGTTCATTGCAAAGCAAAAGCACTTATACGAGTATGAACTCATTTCTACATGAATACATCGTTTTTCAAAAGAGGATTTAAAAACGAAAGGGTGGCGGTACAGTTTCAGTAGTTAGCTTGACTTAAACCTTGTCTACAGTCTTAGAACTAGACACAATTCCACCTAACTGGTCCTGGTTACTGATCATCCTAATTGGTGAGGAATGAAGTAAATCTTTATGTGAAAATTGCAGAGAAGTCAATTCGACCAATATGGTGTCTGAAATATTAGCTTAACCAGGGTTTGTGAACAGCGAAAAACTATGCTGGTTTCACACCTGGACGTGGATGCGTAGACCAAATGTTCACTGTTTATCAGGCTCTGGAACACAGATATACGTTCTGATGTCCAATTATAATTGTTATTCTTGGCCTTAAGGATATATTTGATTATTAACTGTGAGGTTCTGTAATTGTATATCATTAAAATACCCACCAAAGAAGGACATTGACCGTTTATAGGCAATCTCGAGCACTACTGATCGAGTCAGAGCTTATGGCGTGGTGAAATATAATCATTAAGGATAGATATTCGTAAGGTACTGATGTTCGACCAAAGGTGTCCATGAAGCTTTAGTCATGTATTGGGACTACCAACTACGCAACGCCAGTATACTAGGTAAAGATGTAAAAATTATTGATGAGGTAGTAAATCTGCAGAAACTGAAGTGGTTGGAACATGCTTGACAAATGCCCCCACGTCACTGACAAATGGACTGCGTCATGTTAATAGGTGTAGAGCACTCCATATATCTACTTCGTTTAACCTATAAGTGCTTAGGCCTTATCTAACTTTTCAAGGTGTTTGCCAGGCCAACCTATTCAGCTTGAACACATGTTGATTTAAATACTACATGAAATAAAGTAATAGTTTTAAAGCCTATTACGGTTTACACCCGTATTTTATTGTTCTTAGTGAGTAGAGGATGATATATTTTAAGATTGTACTAAAAAAATAACAAACAAAGGAATCATATACTTGACAGCAACAAGTCTTTTGACGTTCGTACCTAATAATCGCATCTTATATTATATCTATCAGTAAACCATAAATACAAGTGATTAGAATGCTTTTCGCTTCGTAAATCATTGACATGAAAAGTAGATAGATTTCCCGATTGTTCATATTCTTTATATTTGTGCATATGAGGAAATTCGTCGGGAATCACACGTCATTGGATAATGTAAAGTTACATACATAAGTTCTTGTAGTCTTTACCAGAACTTGATATTCATTTTCAAGTACTTATTCAACATGCTGATACCACCTAATTTAACGAAGTTACTGTTACCCACTATGAAGGGAAAAAAAACCCATTGAGTATTCTAAAAACTATAGCCTTACTATTATTTGAGATCACCTACCAACTAAAAAACTACTTAAGATAATGGACAGACACCTACCATGATCTACTTGTTCATTAGTCTCACTCTCGTCACGAGTTTGTTGTTGACATTGAAGCTCTTCATTTAGATTCTATAAATATTTCATGAGGATTTCTGAACAACTTACTGAACTTGTGTCTAGAAACGATGAGCTAAGCAGTCCTTAAAGAAAATTTTACCTTCTTGTTTGATTCGGACAATGGCCTCCAGATTTCTTAAGTGCCTATTATGTGAGTAAATAAGGTCGACGACACGTTGCTGAAGCTCACAAGTCATTTTGAAAGCGGAGTCGAGATCGATAAATCTCATCTCCCCAGCTAATGTACTTGCATCTTGTATCTGAAAACATAATATACGAAGGATGACAGATTTACTGTTGCGGCAAACAGTCTAAGCAACTCTCGTGAACCACTAGCCATAAGAAAATGTCAGGCCCGCGCCATAAATTTGACTTGATAACACCGCTTACACTGACCTACAAGACTTCAGTTAATTGATGGCGGTTATTTTTGATGCTCAGTGGCGTCTTCGCAATCTTGACTGCAACTAGTTGGACTGATATTTTTAAATGGCCCAAGGCAGCCCTAACAACTTTCATACAAACTACCACCTACTAGTTAAGACACTCCATGAACCACCATTCTGGTTGGGTCCTGGGTGCTTAATGGTCTTCCAGAGGTATCTCTTAACCCCCACAGTTTGTCGTGAATAACTGAGGTTCAAGAGGATTGCTTAAGCGATGGTCTGTGGGGTGTAGAATTACTTCTGTAATGTGTGCCAAATCTAAAGTTGTACTAAATAGTCGGGTCACTTTTTGCTACAAGCAGCATTACTTGACAGAATCAATGCTTTTTTTCTAGTATTGTACAGTATTCGGTCCACTGCTATTTATCAGGGGTTGTCATGATTTATAATAAGCTACTCTCCGACACTAGGACATTTAGTTAAACTGTGTCACGTCAGTCTCAAAGTGCAGGCGCCCTCCGTTTTTTTCAGTGAAAGAGAAGATTCCTGTAAATAGTGTTCGTTGCATCACCAAGCTATTATTTAGTTAGTTGTGCTAAGCTGTAACAACGGAATATTAAGAGTAAGCAATTTTAAGTCGTTAAACCATAGTGAAAAATCAAACTTCGAGAGGATGTGAAATAATCAAAAAAATGTTATTGGTGAACATTGTTGAATAAATCACGATTGGATTTAGTGCTATACTAGCGGAAGCCAGCCCATTTACGCGCACAATTCTTTTCAACGTTATCAGTCAATTGAAAAACTGTGGCTGAGACTTCTCGAAGCGTATACCGTATTGTACTGATGCCTAATATAGCGAAACCGGATCTTTGGTGAGTGCCTTCTTGGAGGTGTGGAAATGTAAACGTTTTTTACCATGGGTTGTCATGATAAGCTTACCATGGCAACAATCCGTTTCAATAGTCATCGAGATGAGGTCATTTACCTTTCTCAAATATCTGAGCTGGGACATTTCTAAATCCTTCACTTGGTCATCGGATATCTCGTGTTTTGAGCATATAACTAGTTTTGTTACGTGTCGAAGTGCTTCCCTTGAGAGGTTTGCACAGAATTTTTCAGAAGGGGTTGGACTTTCAAGATTAGACCTTACGCGGAACCGTTGTAATTTTAACACATCAAGAGGTTAACTAATATATTTCACGTGTCCGAAGTGGTTGTGGACGAGATAAATGAAGGTTAGACTCTTTGGGTTCCTTTATTTAGTAACAATGGATCACTGATACCTCCAGATAGGAGCCTATGTATATTTAACGAACAACTGAAAAACATCAGTAAATTGGAATGAAATGTTGTTTTGAGTTCCGAAGAATACATAAACTGGCGCAGATTTGGGTGTTTCAGGTAGATAACAAACGCAGATTTCGTTTCATTGAGACACCTGAGAGACCATGAACCCAGGCCACGCAAGTTATCTACAAAGTTAAGTGGTTAAGATTATCAACTACATGGATTCTCCCAGGTTGAATTATAGCCTAGTATGTTTGTAGTGGCGTTTGATCCTAACCACAATCCCAAAGCTGAACATGAGATAATTGGGAAAACAGACTTTCAACATGAGGCACTAAGAGAAGGTCAATAATGATGGACGCGGTAACATTCATTCAATTCAATTCACTGGATTGCATGACTCAGCCTTGTAGTTGTGATTATTGTCATGCAACTTATCTCTTTTATTCATATTAAAGATAATGTTCTATCGCAAGCCTAAATGTGTTCTCCATCATATATTAGTGATTGTTACGATACAATGAGTCAGTGTAGATAATGACGTGACTTCCACGTAAGATCTTATGGATTAGGCAGTTACGTCATGACAAATCCACAAATTTAGGATTAAGTCTATTATTAGAGCAGTACTAATAACGAAGTGGACCATAGTTCCACATTGGTAAGGCCGACTAAAGAAACGCAGTCTATAATTAATCTTCATTTTCACTTTAAATTTCTCGATCGATTTTTACTTATGTTAACTCATTATTCTATCAATACTGTGATTAATGCTTACGTGTATTATAGAATTGTAATGTTGATTGATACTCATAGCTTACTAGCTCAATCGATGATAATAGGTCATCTATATTAAATTATTAGCTATGATGATTCATTAACAAGCTTTAATAGCATCTATATGTTTCAGCAAAATAAACTCATTAAAACAAATCTGACTTTTGAATGAAGTAAATAGACATTGGCTAGTCACGCGGACAAGGACTGAGTAGTTATCTGGACCTAATTCTTCATGATGTTTCTTCACTTAACGTTTCACTTTGTTTTAAACTATAAACTATCCTGTAACATCTTTCCTTACGGCCATTGTCTGCCTAATTTTTAATTTTCGAGTTGCATTGCCAAACAACGATGATGAAACTCCAGAGACACGTGATAAGTTCAAGCTATACAGTTTTTGCATTCCTAATCTCATTTCAGATTGTTTATACTTTGAAGGCCAAGTATTTATCTAGACTAATATAATTTTAATAAATCAACCAAGTGAAAAAGTCAGTGACATCACTCGACCAAGAACTGGTTGGAATACTGTGTGTTTGATCTGGTTGCTTTTGGATTAATACTACATATTACAACTGACCTTATATACGTTAAATCTATTGAATGAACTTGTTCCTAAAAATAATACAGGCCAGTTCAACTATTTTGCTGGATGATTTACTGTTTTTGCACTTAATATGTATATATTTTCACTCAGACTAGCTGTATATATTACATACTAACCACTCTCAAAACGTTTTTGGCATAGAATGTATTTAATACTTTTAAACTACAACATACTGCTATGAGTGTGTTGTTTACAGACGAAGCATATTACATTCAAAAGCTATTTGATATTTATTAGTCCCAATTACCTTTACCACATCTTAGTAATGCCACGAACTAACAACAGTAACTTCTTATGAGTGGTCTATTATAAATTGTCGTATTCCACAAGTTGTCTCAACTTTAAATAACCTGTTGTGGCCAAGTTTATCATTTTAAAATGACTATATTCTTCACCAACCAGCATAATAACCCGGCCTGTACATGCGTCGCATTATATCTCCATGCCTTTCAAATCCAACAATCATTTGAATAGCCTCTAAAATTTTTCACTAAACCCATCATAGTCATTAGTGGTATATGAATTTGTGTTTATGAATTGGTCTACCATATTAGTTGCTTAAAAAGACGAAGGTAATATAAATACTGAATTATTCTCAAATAACAGTTTGTTACATGAGGCATTCCAGTTTACAGGCAAGATCAAACTGTTACAAATGATACGATTTCCACTGTAGTAAATTACTCAGCTGGGTCGATAATTTATAAGATGTGAATATAGATGGTTTTTGTCAGCATCATAGTTGGCGCGCTCCATGAAAGCTGCGTTGCGACGTGCGACTGATGATCGATAACAGATTCATGTGAAGTTGGGGGCTTCTAGAAATCGCAACCTTATATCCCTTTGGATTATCTGGGGCTTTAATGATGGTGAAGGACGAGGTCACCCATTCCGTATCTTAAGGAAGCCAAAAATTGTGAAAGAAAAAAGGACGAAAAGCAGAGCAGACAGTGTTCATGAAGAAACAGTTAAAGTATGACTACTCAGTCCGATTCACATTTATTAAAGTAGTTTGGATAATAAAGTCATCAAATTTAGGTACTATCATATTGCACTAGTATAATAACTAAAGTATAAGGTAGTTGTTGGACAAACAAACCTTTAAAATCAAAACTCCGGAGCTCACTATTGGAATTAACACTATATAAACAAATATTTTTGAATTGAAACTTATAATATAATCAGGCGAGTCGGATTCTTCAACGTTACAAAATTCTGTCATTTCAGAAGCATGTAAAACAAAAACATCTATGTTCCACTGGCTAATCCTCAATTAACACTTTAACTAGTTGAATATAATGGTTTCGGGATATCGTCATAACTTGACGATCACGTAATATGATTCATAAAATTGATGAAACTATCAGCAAAATCGGTCGGTGAATTGACTTAAATTATCACTAAGTAGTGTTGTTTTCTCGTTATCTTCATCCACTACAGATGGTTACAGTACGTTTCGCTATTAGTTGCTCATTCAGTAAATGGCTTAAAATCTATTCAGTTTAATCGGAGCTTAAGCAGAACAATCATGCATGTAAATTATCAGTTTAAGCATTTGAGTGAAACTCTTCTACGAACTGAAATCACTGTTGGATTTACACCAACACTGACTAAGGTTCAGGCCATTATCATAGACATGAGTTAGGAGTGCACTCCTCTTGATTACAACTAATATTCTCCCTGATAATCACATTAGGGTCACTCACCGTTTACAATATTGTAAAGGTTTATTTAGCCGGAAGCATTGTGCAACACCACAGCATCTATGTTTATGGCACATAGGCTTGGTAGATTTTAACAATTCTTAATCACTATATTTGTAGCAAGTCGTTTTCTAATTTATGGGAAACTCGATACTTGCAAGTAATTAATATGCATCATCAGTCGGAAGGTATGAATATAAGTAAATAGTCTATAGCTAGTCAGAACTTTGAGTCTAGTGCATGTCACCTACGAATACACACATGTTTATCTAATTCCTCCTTGCTATATGTCCACAATTCACATAATAATCACTTTTCACGTAACAAGAATTTTTTCGATAACCATTCATATATAGTAGTAGTATTACTAAATTCCATCACGGTTAACTAAACAAACCTTATCACACCTAACAAACTAACTAAAACACTAGTTGGAATTCTTATTTTCAATGGTTATACCTTAAATCATTCAATTAGCTTATTAATGCAGATGCAATTAGAAAACAACTCATACCGACAGCGTGCCAACATGAATGTTAACTGACTTTCTAATGAAGAATTAAAATAACAACAATAGCAATAATTACACAACACTTATTGTTCTTATATTTCTTAGCGCAAATGACTTATACTGACTACAACTTGAGCCATTAAAGAAATGTTATTAATACTCATTTTAATGTAACTTGTTAAAATATCTCTACTCATTCGTTCTACATTTTTATAATCCCGCCTTAATTGACATATGTATAGTGTGCATGTGGGTTTTTAGTTTAGGCGTGTTAAGCACCAAAGTAGATATTTTAAAGTTATAACATGTATTTCCCGATCAGTTGCTGCAGCTTTTCTTATTTATCTTTCACTTTATCAATAACCGGAGGACTTATTATTATTGAGGATATCCGGCGCGCGGCAACCCCACAAAATTTGGTAAAAAACCAACGTTACGTTGATACTTATGAGAGAACAATTGAGTAGAGTTGGATGCTTGCCAAAATACTAAAATCTGAAGATTACCTAGTTGAGCAAACGCATATTTGTCCTAGTCACAACAACACAGTGACGGCTCAATAGTGTAATTAGTAACAGTAACTGTGGTAGTAGAAGTGTCATATCTCGACAAGAATAATAAATGGTAATTTTCCGAGATCAATTTATAGACCGATATAATCAGTATAATTTTATCGTTTAATTGTTATGTAACTAATCTGTCCATACACACGTCTCTTTTATTATGAGTTTCATTTTGACCTATGATCTGTTATTATGTGGAGTATGGCAGTTGGAAAAAATGTACACTCTGGGAATAATGTAGCATTATCCACAATAATACAGAGTAGCGATCCACAAAGTCACGAACTCTTGTTCTAGACGATATTGGTAGCTGCATATTACCTCGTTGGGCTAACACACAGTTGTCTTAGTCAGTTAGTTATACAAAAAGGAAAATCTGATTTAAACGAGCAACGGCTCAGGGTTAAAAAAACACATCACGGCGACGCCTGAATAATGTAATTAGTAACAGTAACTGTGGTAGTAGAAAAGACTAAGCACAAACAATATAATTCAAGAAAAAAGAACGACTTAAAAGCACTGAGGCCTTTCGTCCTAGTATGACACTTCTCAGTAGTGCGCATCCACGACGCCGCATCTACGATCAAAAAAACCCAGGAACTTCAGTCACGTGTGCAAACACTTAACCTCTAAACTACTGAGTTGGGATCCAATAGTGTGCAAGTCTAAGGTCAATCATGTCTCTAAAACATAAACAAATATATACTTACCCAGTAAACCTACGAGTCCTTGCTGAAAGCCGAGAGCGAAACAACCATCAAAAATTGACAAAACAGAGCTTAAAGTTTTGTTTGTTCCTTTGGAAATATCTTGATCCGTATTATCCATAGTAGAGTTCATGGAGTGCGATTCCGATGGCTTACATCCTATATCGATAAGAGGCAACCACTCTAGTGAGGTTATTGCCCCATTTACTAAAATATTTATGTTACATTTCGCTGTACTCAATGAACGAAAAAAACAGACAAGTGAACGATTCTGGTTGATATTTACAAGAACTGCTGCTAAAGATTGCCTTGCCGTAGTTGAAGTATTTACAAACATAACTTTACTAATATGCCAATTGTACAAATCATCAGGAGAGTCTGATACATTATCCAATAAACATTTTAAATCTAAAATAGGTATCCATGTAAATTGATGTGACCAATTCGGACTGTCACGAAAGCATTCAAGCTTGTGTATATCGTATAGACATACAGTTGCTGAAGATGAACTGAAGACGATTTGCGTTGTATTCCTCAGCGATATATCGGTCTTGAATTTTGAGAAATTAACTGAACCCAAAGGTTCTAAAAATGTAGGTTGCATGTTGATATGTTTAATTGGTCAGCTGCAAAGTAAATAGTAAAAGAGGCAATGACAATTCTTTTTCTAAAAAAATAGAACTATGTTTCAAGAGAATACGTTCGTAAACTAATTAGGAAGATATTGATAACAAATGTTTGATATCAATCCTAAAAATGAGTATATTAGCAACATCGAGATTTATTGCTGATGTCATTTGATCATGGAAATACCTGTTACATAGATGTATATGACTGATGGGATTATTTCAGCTTAATCTGAACTCCCAACCAAACATAATTTCTGGGTTTTATATGAAAACTCCTTTTCAGTTCGGTTCATATTAACGTTAAAGTAAGACGGTAAGAAACGCTGAGATAAGTCGATCAGTATCCTACAGAATTAGCGATGTTCCAAAGACTGTACACTCTTTGATCAGCTATGAACTGACTGAAGGCCGAAAACGGGTTTTTAATCTCCTTGTGAGTGTGTCAACTACTGAAAGAACACTTGATAGCGTGACAACCCACTATGGACTGTTATCTGCGGCGGCCAGATCAATGGCGTTCCGCAATGCTGCCTACTTTGATGGCTTCAAGTGCAATATCACAAATACGCCACACACGCATTTTTGTAGCATAACTTAATAAGTGGTCGGAGTGAGGGAAGCAGTAAACAGAATTGTCTTATCGGTCTTACGACCTGATTAGATTAAACGATTCGAGCACCTCGGGTAAGAACACAATATTTAACATTCATTTTCCACCTCGAAAAAGCTGAATGTTGCTTGCTTAACTGTCCAGCGTCAATACTTAGTTTTACGTCCGAATACAAACCCGGTTACTCAGTAATCTTATTTTATCCGAGACCCCATCAGTTCTTTATGAACTACCCACTAAAACCTCATAAATGCTACCAAACTATAGTTACAAAATGTCCTAAAACCTATCAAGGGTAAGTAAGATGTAAGTTTGACTTGACTTGCTATAGGAATAAAAGGTTTAGCCAATAATCTTAAAAACAGGTTAATCGATGTACTACATTGTTTATTGATGAATAAAAATCCGGAGTTCACAAACGTTTGTCTTTGAGCATTTTGAAACACCGAATTCGTGTTGACTCACAGGACCTAAAATAATACAGGAGGACTTGATAGTGCAAGGGGTAACCAGACCAGAAATCAAGCCAGTTCATGAAGATACTAGTGACCTAATTAGGACGAAACTTAAGTGGAGGTAGCATATGCTTCGTTGATCTGTCTCTATAAACACCCGAAAATAATTACGGTTGACCAAACTAAACAATTAGTAGTGAAATTTAACGATGAGAGTAGAGAAGTGATAAATCGAGTTACACAATAGCAACAACCGGTTACAAGTATTCAACATTCAAAGAGGACATCAGCCCGATTTTTGAAACTCCGCGAAGGTCAGTCCTATATCCAATATCGGATTCAGATTTGTGTAGTAAGGACAGAAGACCTACGGTCTATGTTATTATTTTTCTAGTATGCTTCTGTGAGTGTCTGGTCTTCTCTTGAATGAGTCGATTGAAGGTTCTGAGATCACTGCTTCGGGTAACAGGCTCCATGAATTGATGACTCGATGTGAAAACATGTATACCACAGGTACTTTGTTCGTTCTTGGCTTGTCTACTCGCCTGCTGCATCCTCTGAGTTGTCCCAATCTGGTAGGGAAAACGAAAGGGAATATGTTGGATTCGAGATAATTTCTTAACATTTTATACATCCTTAAACCTCTTTTCATCCCAACAGAACGGTTTCAGGGAGAGTCATTTTTGTATAACCGACCTGCTGATTGCGGCGGACAATTGGACAACCATCCTTGATAGCAGAGGAGAGATTAAAGTCTTACATCTTGACTTTCTAAAGGCTTTTGATAGGGTTAACCATATATGTCATATCAATAAGCTCAAACGACTAAGTATCTAATCACCTTGAATTGATTGGCTCACTTCGTATCTAAGATATCGACATTTTAAGGTCAGGGACTAACTTCAATTTCTCTCGGGCTATAGAATGTCGTAGTGAGGTCCCTCAAGGTTCGGTACTAGGACCTCTTCCTTTGTTGATTCATATGAAGGATCTTTCACAACAGGTATCGTCAGACTTATTGCGTTTTACTGAAAACCTGAAACTGGAGAGAAATACACAAACAAGAGAAGAAACTGGCACTTTAGAAGACCCTGACTGGACTTCAAAGTTGGGCAGATGATAACGAACTTATCTTTAACACGTCAAAATGTAAAGTAGTCCATTTCAGACATGCTGCAGTTTACGGCTTCAACCCAGGAAACTCTACTCTAGAAATATCACAGGTTATACAACATTTAGGAGTGCTTGCACCTTACGATTTGAAGTCCTAACCTAACTCTTACAAATGCGCCCTTCAAGCAAACCTAGCACCGGTAACATTAGAGTGCGATTTTAGCTAGTTTGACGGAAGAACTTTCCACATAATCTTCGGCAGTTACTCGTCCCCACTAAGAGTACGGAGACATAGTGTTTCCTCTCTCGCTATAAAAGAACAAGGACACTCTGGAACGTATCTAGTGAAGAGCCACAAAATCAGTTCATGGACTCAAGTTCAAACCCAACGAAGAGCGCCTCTTAACACTAAACTTTTGCTTATCAGAGTATAGGCATCTTAGAGATGGCCATCTAATGGCGCACAACATCCTAAATATGTCTGGACATCCCCTAAAACACCTACTTAATTTTAGTTCCATCCCAAACCTGGAGTGCAACACTCAGAAACTGGAGACACAACACAACAGAACGGGTTGTAGTTACAACTTTGACACCTTAAAAGTAGCCAAATTTTGCAGTTCGCTGACGGCTGAGTTAGTTCAAGCAACTTCTAAGGAGTTCTTTAAGAGAAAACTTGACATATTCTAAAGGACTAAAAATAGTATCTTGCTATGAATTACTGTAGTGAGCACGTAGTATTTAACTTGATGAATGTCCATTCTAAATCCCATAGCGTTCCAAACCCCTTACCTGCAGCCTCAAGACAGTGTTCCGTGGACTTAAGACCATTACTCACCTTCACCCCAAGATCCTTTTTAGACCTGAGTTCGGGTACAGGCACTTCATCTATACTGTACCTATTTACTTATGTGAGTGTTTCATATTAAATATATACGGCTAATCTAAACGTTAATATATATGTTAGGATTTACCAGGAACAGAGTAAATCATCCAGAAAAATAGTGAAATTCGCTTAAATTTTTCGGGCATCCATGTCATCTAAAAGATTTGATGTATAGCAAGCCATATGTGACAACCAGGATACAGCATTGGAACTAGTTCCGTGGTTCATGAAGCTGTTGCCTTTGTCTCTCGGTTGACTCAGCACATAATGAGTTTATGATTGCAGGAACTCTAAAGTTTAGACTCACCGGAGGTTTCCGAAATATTGTAATTTTCCATTAGAATTTGAGAATTGGAAATTAATCAGGTAGTAGTCGAAGCAAAAGATATTATGGGATAGTCCATAGTTTAATATACAGTAAAATGCCAAGTGAAAAAAACAAGATGAGGAATTGGATCAGAATGACTGTCCATTCCTTGCTTACAATAATTACCAGATTATGTGCATGTACGTCGATGAAGTGCCATATTTACTTATTTATTTATTTAAACACATAAACATTGGCACAAGGAGGCAACAAATAGATATGCGCCACATTAGTGATTCGATTCATGTGAGGGCTGAGATACTACCCGGGTGCCACACTCGGAGTCTTAAACATAGAGGTCTATCCACAGAACAGTAGAGCAACGTTACGAGATGCAATCCCATGGTAGCCGGTGACCAACAATTGGTTCATATGTCATTTGTTCCTTCAGGATCCTGGAGCCAGCCCATATGCACCTTTGGTTAGTAATCAGGGTTTTCCAAACCACGTAGGTGTTCCCCGTTGAGGAAGGAATGCAGTGCGGTGAATGTAAAAAGTGGTACCATAAGATGTGTACACGTCTAAGTCCTACGGCCTACAGCAGGTGCTCAAAGCCAAACTCGCATTGACTTTGTATGTTTTGCTGTACAAATAAAAAGTTACTAATCCAGGAGGCTATGAGCCTATTGGCTTTGGCCTGTAAGAAAAACGATGGCGGGTGTCTTGACATCACGAACACTGACAGCGAAGAATGTGTCAGTGTGGTAAGTGCTGCTACCGGACCCGTTAAACACCCGATTGTGATTGATGGGATAGTAAAAACACCGTTGACATTAACGAGAAGTGGAGTGCCGCTTGATATTGACATTGGAAATCATTCACCTTTAGTGGAAATTAAAGACCCGGATAACACTGTCACCGTTCTAAATAGTCCTAGTGTGGCTGTCCTGAGTGAGGATAAGTGGACTTCAGCACGGAAAAAAAAATGAGAAGAAAAAAACTGTAGGCAAACCGCAGCTGGTTAGCAAGTCATTGGAAGAGACGGTATCAGAAACAAAAATTCCACTTCGTGTCAAGACAGATCTCTCTGACAGGTCAGTCATTTTTCATAAGTTAAGAGAATCTTCCGATAAGTAACCGAAGGCTAGATTTGAAGACGACTTCATTCACATTAAGTCCTTAATAAACGAACTACTCCCAGATACAGTTTCAGGAGTTAGCATTTGTAAGGTGGATTCTGAAAGCCCTCAGAAAAACCGATTCTTGAAGGTTACATTTGCCACGGTTGAAGAAAGAAACCTGATTCTAGGTAACTCACATAAATTGATTACACCCGGAATATATGTTCGTGAGGATCTCAGTCTAGCTGATCGCATCAAGAGACGAGCTGTAGAAGTGGAAATAAATGAGCGTCGCCGAAACGACGAAAGAAGCCCCGTTCTTAAGGGTTTTCAAATTGTAAAAGTTCGGAGCAAAATGATCCTTAAACCACTCTGTGTGGTAAGGGAAAGTTCTCCACAGACTTAAAAGTATGCTACACAAATGCTCGCAGCCTACTAAATAAAATGGCGGGGCTTAAGTCAATGGTGGATAAAGAAATACCG